AGAAGTCTGGTATCTGTACGTATTTGAGGGGGCAGCAGCTATGATAACGAAAGAAGCCAAGCACTTCCTTCATCCATCACAGTTGCAAATGTATTAACAGGTACCAACCAAACTCTCAAGCTGCCCTCCCACACCTGGGCCTTTTCCAGACTCCTTATCTCAGTGAATGGCACCACCATCCATCCAGTTATGCAAGCCAGACACCACAAGTCAGCCTCGACATCGCCCTCTGCCCTCACACACCCATCCATCACCAAGCCCTATCAACTGTACCTCCCAAAGACACCCTCTTCTCTCCATTTGCACCACCTTGGTCCAAGCTATCATCATCTCTTACCTGGGCGACTCCAACAGTCTACCATCTCCATTGCCTCCTACTGATTCTCATCCTGCAGCTGCAGTGACCTTTCAAGAGGCAAATCTGATCAGGTCACCTCCTTCCGGTGGAAACTCTTCAGTGCTGCCCCCTGAGTTAAGCTCAGAAATGTCCGAGTATGGCCTATAAGGCTCTGCAGAGCTGGCCCCTGTTTTCCTCTCTAGTCATACTGGTCTTCTTCTGGAGCCCTTAACTCATCCTACTCTCCCCTACCACAGGGCCTTTGCACAAGTTGTTCCCTCTGCCTAGTATGTTCTTTGCCTCCCTCCTTCACCTAGGGAACACCCCTTCATTCTTTACACCACTCAACAGTCATCACCCCCGCAGGCGTGCACTTCTGACCTCCCTCTTTTGCACTCCCCCCAACCAGCACCATCACCCACATGTCATTATATACACTCAAGTCATTCTGTGATTACTGTCTGCCTCACCAGACTGGAAATCCATGATGACAGGGACTATTTCTGTGCCTGCTCATCGTGGTAGCCTCAACATCGAGCACAGTAACGGAGCAACGTCTGCTGGACTAATGGATGAATGTACAAATGGATCCATTGTGCCTCACAGTGTGATCATGACAAATGACTAATCCTAGCCAGCACTTCTCACCACCACATGGGAAAATCTTAGACCTAATTCCCCATCTGCCCATGGGGAAGGAGGGGTACACAGAAAATAGATCCCATGTGTCCTCCTCAACTCGGGGGGCGGGGATGGAAAATGTACCAGCATATTCAGTAAATTCTGCCCCTATTAAAATATTTAGTGGGAAAGGCGATGCATTCCCAGAGAGGCAAAGTTATCTCAGAAATTATCTTAGAATGTGGGCACAGGGCAGAATTTTGAACACACGTTCAGAGTCTTCCTATTGAAGGGAATATCTTTTATTCTAGAAACTTCCATAGCGACGCTTTAGCAACGAATGGCTAAGGCATCGGCTGGTGCCACTTAGAGGCAGTTCAGCTCTAAACTTCCCAGAAAACAGCTTGAAGAGAGCCAGGCCTTGAAGGCAACACCCGATGCATTCCTGAGCTGGCCAGCCCTGGTTTTTCTTTCTAACGCCCCACGCCTCCTTTCTATCCCAATGAAGAGAGCAAGTGTGGGGGGAGAGAGGAGGCAGGCACTCCAGTCACCCTCCGCTGAGCCGTGGGCACAAGGCCTGCTTCCTGAGCCAGCTCCCGGAGCACAAACCCCCACCCACGCCTCTCCCAGAGGACAGGGACCCACAAGGCCACGGAGACCAGCTGAACAGAGGGCGTGGTGCCTTCTGGATCTCAAATCATCCTGCTTGGAAGTCTCCCAGTCACACATGAGTAGAGCCCCAACGCAGCTGTGGGAAAAGCAAAACCAGACAATGGGCCACAGCAGTCCCTGAGGCCCGGGAGGATCAAATCCACCCACAGGCCTCCAGCAAGAGGCAGCTGGAGCGTTACTTCTCCCATTTCCCCATCAGGTTTTGTTCTTCATTGTGGCGCCTCCTGCCCTGTTTGATGGCGCTCAGTGAGTTTTCCAGCTCCTCTTTCGGCATTTGCGGGCGTCTGGGCTCGGGTCCCAGGCTATAAGCTCCTGGAGGACAAGACCTGTCTCACCTACCTGTGGGGTTCCCGGTGCCTTGCGCTCGGAGCTTGCACGACACCTGCTTGCTGAATGAGTGAACAATGTTTTCAACAAGTGGTCAGCTGAGAAAGCGGTATGAAGAGAAAAGGCAGCAAATAACTATTATTTCATTGAAACCGTTTTACGAATAAAGTCACCCACTGACTCACTTTAGACAAATCACTCAAAACTACTTTGCCCGCCCAATGCGAGGGATCAGGTAGAAGGACCAAACTGCAACTCTTCAGATGTATCACCTTCACAGGTAAGTGTTTGCCCATAATCCTGTTGTTAAAAATGAAATCACACGAAACCACTCAACAAAATTCTTAGCGTGGCCTTGAACAATAAGAACCAATAACTCTGTGTTTAAAGGACACATCTGTCGGAAGCTTCAGCTGTAAGGTCTACTGAAGCAGCAAAAAACATCAGTAACAAGAACCAGATACTCTGTAACCGCCTTAGAAGTACCATACGCAAATGTGTGCAGACCGCTAAGCCCTTCTCAGTGACCTGTGGGGTGGCCCTAATATAATTCTCAAGAAAGGCTTTAGTATATTTCTTTTACAAGGCAAAAATCTCCAACACCCTCCCCCACCACGAAGGGGAAAGGTAGGAACTTTCCATGGCACACACCTGCAGCTCACCTAAAAGGAGACCTCACAACACGGTTTGGAAATGCTAACTGTAGATATTATATAAAATATATAGTCTTCCCAAATGTTCCTCTGGTCATTGGAAACCTAACATAGAAGGTGATAGCTGCTACTACCTTTCTTAATAGTATCTTCACTTTGTCAGAACATTTTCTAAGTTTTTGATCCACCATAAAAGACCTTTAAAGCCAAATGAAACTAAAACACACTTGCTCTAAGAAACAGAAAGAGAGACTTACTCAAGGAAGGAAATTCTGACACATGCTACAACATGGATGACACTTGAGGACATCATGCTAAATGAAATGAGCCGTCACAAGAGGAAGCATACTGTGTGATTCCACTTATATGAGGTACCTAGAGTAGTCAAACTCATAGAGACAGAAAGTACAGGGCCAGCACGGTGGCGCAGTGGTTAAGTTCGCATGTTCTGCTTCGGTGGCCCAAGGTTCTCCGGTTCGGATCCCAGGTGTAGACATGGCACCGCTTGGCAAGCCATGCAATGGCAGGCATCCCATATATAAAGAAGAGGAAGATGGGCACGGATGTGAGCTCAGGGCCAGTCTTCCTCAGCAAAAAGAGGAGGATTGGCAGCAGATGTTAGCTCAGAGCTAATCTTCCTCAAAAAAAAAAAAAAACCCAAAAGAAAGTAGAAGGGTGTGTGCCCGGGGCTGGGGAGGAGGAGAACAGGGAGTTAGCGTTTCATGGGGACTGAGTTTCAGTTTGGGTAAGTTCTGGAGATGGATGCTGTGATGGGTGCAGAACAATGTGAATGTACTGAATGCCCCTGAACTGTACACTTACGAATGGTTAAGAAGGCAAATTGTATGTTATGCATATTTTACTACAATAAAACAAAAAAAGAAACGAGAAAAAGAATAAAAGAAATTACAGTTCATCATGAGAAATAAGTAGTGACTGCAAACTGGTTTCCTAACTTTTTTCTCAGTGCTATCTTAGAATCTGAACTCTGCATCTTTTCTTTTCGTGAAATGAAGAAAACCACACCAGGAAATGGCAGCCAATCTCTTGACCACTCTGCATCGTCCTGCTTAGGGCTGTGCCCCGAGTAAGGGGAGGTATTTGGGTCAGTTTTAGATCACAGGCATTGTAAAGCCTGGATGTCATGCGCCACTTGCAAGTTGGAAATGAAAAGAATTAATTGTGTGCAGGAAAAAAAATTTTCTGCATCATGAATGAATCACCTTGAGGATCTAAGTTAGGCAAAAACTATACCTGCTTCTGAATCTTTTAGTATATTAACAGAATAATTGATCTAATCTAACAGTAAAATAAGACTTCACTAATAAAAACCTTTCAGAAAATCTGACATTTAATGGTAGAAAAGGCACATAAAGCATCGACTACGGGACCAATCTGTTTGAAAAACTAGATAGAAGTGCCACACAAATCTTTTATTGCAATTTCTAATGAATCCACGTATTTTCTACACTGTGCTTCAAAACTCGATTAAAGTTTAAATTCTCTTTCTAATGTCTAGTCAGCAGTTTACCTGTGTTAAAAGCAGGCAGAACAGATACAACTTCCTAAGAAACGTGGGTCACAAAGAACCTGTCTGGGTCCCACAACTTAAATGACAGCCACAACACCCCAGGCCTGGCCAGCAATCTAACCGAGAATGCAACAAAATCAGATTGAAAGGGACAGAGGTGCGGGCAGAGCGGCACAGACATCAGCTGATGTTTATGCTATTTACCAGGAGGGCCCGACCAGAGAGGGGCCTCCTTATCACCCCGCAGGGCTGCCCGCCTTCATGTGCAATTCAAGTCCATTAGTACACTCTCTCAGATAGGAATCCTGCTGCCACCAGCGAATTCCCGGGCGAAGAGCGCAGCTCCACAGGCTGCCCCGGGGTACAATGGCCTGGAACGAAGCTACGCGCCAGAAAGACCGCGTCTCCTCTGCCAGATGTCCTCTAGAGCGCCAGAGGAAGATCTGGGGTGCCTCTGGCTCCGGACACTTGAAGGCACTCCGAGTTGGTGTGCGCCCTCGGACGCCACCTGACTCTCCCGCGATTTAGACAACTTTTCAAGAAACTTCCAAGTTGCATTAGAATGCACTTTTGAAACAGACCGAAGCAGTGTAAAAGGGGATTCTGATTTTTACAGAAGACCATAACTACGGGAGGGGCGGGGCTCGCAAAGAAAAAGACTGCAGAGTGAAAAGCATCAAAACCGTGTCTTCTTCAGGAGTTCCACAGAAGGACCAACAAATCACAAAGAGGGGAGACAACTCCCTGCTCCCGCCCTCTTAGCCGTCTGCAAAACCCTGCCCCCACACCTCGCCCAGGTAACTCCCACTGGAAGCGGAGCCCGAAGCCTCCGAGCCAGCCCGGAAGCTGGGTTGCTTACTGGTTTCGGCATTTTCGGTTCCTGCTGGGTTTTCCTCACTCCCCTGGAAACACTACTCTCCAGCAGCGGCTGAGACGGTTCTCGGGACCTGAAGGCACAGGAAGCCCTTCAGAGCGCGCAGCAGCCTCCTCCCGCGCCGCCGCGCCCCGACACTCGGCGCCCGCCCCGCGCCGCCGCTTAAGAACCGGCCGGGCGGGCGCCGGGATGAGTCACCGCCCAACCTGCAATTACGCGGGCCGGGCGGGCCGGGCGGGCGGGCCCGGGGGGGCCGACGGGGAGGGGGCGGGGACTGGGAGGGGAGGGGAGGGGAGGGGAGGGGTTGGGGGCGCGGGGAGGGGAGGGGAGGGAGGGGGAGGGAGGGGGTGGGGCGCGGGGAGGGGGATGGGGACCGGGAGGGGAGGGGCGGGGGCGCGGGGACCCGGCGGGGAGGGGGATGGGGACCGACAGGGGAGGGGAGGGCGAAGGGGCACGGGGACTCGACGGGGAGGGGGCGGGACCCGGTGCGAAGCGGGAGGGGGCCGGCGGGGAAGGGGACAGGGAGGTAAGGGGGAGGGGACGCGGGGACCCGGCTGGGAGGGGCGGGACCCGGTGCGAAGCGGGAGGGGGCGCGGGGACCTGGAGGGGAGGGGGCGCGGGGACGGGGCTGGTGGGGAGGGGGCAGGACCCGCTGAGGAGGGGTAGGGGGCGGGGGAGACCCGGCAGGGAGGGGGCAAGACCCAGTATGGAGGGGAGGGGGCGTGGGGACCCGGTGGGGAGGGGGCCGGTGGGGAGGGACCCGGTGCGGAGGGGGAGGGGGCGGGAACCAGGCGGGGAGAGGGCGCGAGGACCCGGCGGGGAGGGGAGCACGCGGGTCGGGGTGCAGGGCCTGGGTGGGGGACCTGGGCGGCGGGAAGGGAGCCTGGTGGGCGGGCCCGGCGAGAAGGGTGCGGGGCTGGGGGGCGCGGAGCCCGGCGGGAGGGGTCGGAGGACCGGGGCGCCGGGGCGGGGGTCCCCCGAGGTAATTTTCGGGGCTTCCAGGAAGCCAGCCGGGAGCCCAGCAAACAGCAAGTTTCACTTTGTGAAGCAACCGTTTGCCCCAAGGCTGAAACCGCAACCGTCAAGCCTTTGAGAAACACTTTTAAAAAACTGTCCCCGCCCGGGAGGGGCCGAGGACTGCCCGGCCGGGCGAGGCTGGGGGGCGCGGGCGGGGGGCGCGTGCACGCAGCCCAGGCTCTGCTGGCACTTTGGAACGGGGACATGAGGGGACAGAATGGAGAGAGAAAGGTCGCGGAGCAGCGGGGGCGGCCACACTCGGCAGGTTCGGCTTCACCTGCCGTTTCTTTGGGCCGAACGGGAGAGCCGTGCGCGGAGGGCTAGGCGGGGACCCCACCAGCCGGAGACACCGGGACCCTGAACCCCTCGGGGACCACCGGTCTGGGGCTTGCGCGCGGGCTGCCCCTCCGCCAGGCCGGCCCCGCCACACCTGTCGTCGAGTCCCAGCCACTGTCCCCTCCGCGCGGCGCGAAGCCCCTGGCCCGGCCCGGCCCCTCCGCCCGCCAACCCCGGCCACGCGCCGGGCTCACCGGCGGCGCCTGCAGAGAACGGCTGCTCTCCCCGCTGTCGGCGTGTCCGCGCAGTGCGCCCGCCGCCCGCGCTCCCGAGAGTCCCTGGTTGGGCGGGGTCCCGGGGCCGCGCCCCTACCCGCCCCGCCCGACCCGCGAGGTGCGCCTGGCGCGCAAAATGGCTGCAGCCGCCGCCCGCGCCCGGGGCGCCCTCCGCCTCCCCCGCGCCCCCCCCGAGCGCCCCCGAGGGCCTTGGAGACCCGGGCGGGGGCGCCCTCCGCCCCCCACGCGCCCCGCAGTCCCTCTCCATCGCGACGATCTTTCCCTCCCCTCTGCCTGTCCCCTTGCCCTTGGAGAACTTTGCCGAATTTGGTTCCACTCCTGATTGCAGATGTAAGATGTGAGATTATTCGCTCCACAGGGGACAGAGGGAAAACAAGAAAATGTAAATAAACCTGGAGGAGCAGGCGGCCGCAGGGGAGGTGCTGGGCCGTTTTGGGGTGAGGCTGCCTGCGTGGTCTGGGCATTGGGATGTCCTTGCGCCGGGATCGAGGCGGGTTCTGAGAACCCGGGGCCTGGGGCGGCCGTCCCTGGCCTCTGTGCCTCGTTGCATGGGGCCGGCCGGCCTTCGCGTTCGGATTCGGCCGAGAAGGACACAAGCCTAGAAGACGCTCCATCGCCGAACACTCTGGTTAAAGGACACATCTGTGGCATCCTTTGACTTGACTAGCACAGAGCTCTAGCAAAAGTCGCCGTAGGGAGAAATTCTAGGAATTATTTTTAATTTTTTTGCAAATGGCTCTCAAGAAGAATTTTTAAAAACACATAGGCCTTGATGGCCGGTAGCATTTGTCGCGCAGTGATTACGAGAGCCAGCTCAAGAGTAGTGGTTCTCGAAGCGTGCTTCCCAGACTAGCAGTGTGAGCATCACCTGGGAACTGGCAGAAATGGAAATTCACAGGGCCTGCTCCCAAGCCTAGGAGTCAGAGTCTGTAGGGCTGGGGCCCAGCAGTCTGTCTGCAAACCCTCCAGGGGATTGGGATGTAGGCTAAGGGTTGAGACCACAGCTTCTCCGGAATTCCTTTCTTGGGCTCGCCACTAACTCCGTGTGTGAGTTAAGCGCGTTATTAACTCCTTTGTGCGTTGGTTTTCACATCTGGCAAACTGTGGCACTTATTTCCTAGGGTTGTTATGAAGATTCGAGGAATTAACACGTGTAAGATGCCTAGAGCACAGCCTGACACGCAGTACGCACTCAAATCTATCCTGGTGCGGAGAGTAACGAGTGGCTTTGGGCAAAGCACCAAACTCTCCAGGACTCAGTTTCCCAATTTGTAGCCTGGGGGTACTAGTAGCACCCCCTACATGGGCTTGTACACATTAAATGAGATAATGCATGCAAAGTGCTTAGCACAGGCTGTGCCTGCCACTAATGCCTAGTCTGTCTTGGGGGTAGACTGCTTCTGGAGATCCCTTGTCAGCCAGCACCTGTGACCCTCTCGCAGCGGCAGATCCAGGGCATTTCAGGGGTCCAGGCAAGAAGGGAGGCTTTTCCTGAGATGTCCTGTATCCAGGCAAGTCTGTTCCCTCTGACTTTCCTTTTTATTACAATGAAGATGTAAAGTTAACTTCAGTAGGAAGGAAACTATGAAAGATATTTAAATAAGCTACAGGGATAATGGTTCAGGTGGGACAGGTTACCCCCAGCCTGCTCTCTCCCCCCTTATCACTGCCTGCAGCCTTCTTAGCCATTTCTGGTCCCCCACTCTGCTGATAGGGTGTGCCTCTAAGAAATCTTTTATCGCACCCAGTTGATGGTATATTGTCTTCCAAACTGGATGTTTGAAATAGCAGTGGCCCAGAGACCTTCTGGAGCATTTCTGAACTTTCCCCTTCAGGGGAATGGAGAAAATGAGCTGGCCGGGGACAGGGTGGTAAAGTGAAAGGACCTCGAGTTTCAGAAGCGAGCAGAGCTAAGTCTGGATTCTGCTTCATCTGAGCTCCCACCTCTCCATCTGTAGACTGGAGATGATAATATCTGGTGTTCTTGTGTTAGAATAGCATCAAGTCATATTTTGCATATGCCTTCCTCAGTTATCTGACATTTCTGTAAGCATTACATATTATATTTAATGCTACTGTACAGGGTCCCCCCACTCCCCCAAAAACCTTTCCACTGGGGGCCGCCCCGACCAAGTGGTTAAGTTCACAGGCTCCACTTCGGCACCCCGGGGTTTCACTGGTTCGGAGGGATCCTGGGCGGGGACGTGGCACCGCTCATCAGGCCACGCTGAGGCAGCGTCCCACATGCCACAACTAGAAGGACTCACAACTTGAAAAAATACACAACTATGTACCAGGGGGCTTTGGGTAGAAAAAGGAAAAATAAAATCTTTACAAAAAATAAAAAAGAACCTTTATACTGTATTTTAGGAGTGTTTTCAGGGGTTTTTCCAAGGGTAATTTATTTTTACCTAACTTTAGAACTTAAACTTTTCTCCAGCCCTCCTCACCCCCAACACACACACAGGGGACTGAAGGCCAGGGAATCTCTGCAAATTGCTTAGGACAGTGGTACTGAAACCTTGGTGTGCCTTAGAATCACTCATGGAGCCACCTCTTGGAATCATGGGTCTATAAGTCTCAGATGCACCCTGGGATCTGCATCTTCAGCAAGTCCCTGGGTGAGTCTGACACGCACCCAAATCTGAGAACCGCTAACTCAGGGTGTGGCAGGATCCTGACAAATATTCCTTAGCTTGCCTCTCCCTTTACCCCTTTTGTGTGAAGTTCTTCCCATGCTGTAGTTTTGCTCACATTTGATAATCAACGCCGTGGAAGGAAGTGAGGAAACCTGGAGCTGAATGTCTTGGATACCATTCCCTACTCTTGTTTAGACTGGCTATTGACCTTGAACGACTTGCTCCTCATTTCAGGGTTTCAGTTTTTCCGCTACAGGAGGGAAACCCTATGGCGACCATGAGCCTGGCACAAGGCTGTTGGGAAATTGCTTGGGGTTCTTCAGGTGAGGTTACACTAAGGTGAGGCCAGGCAGCCCTCACCGTACCCTTAGACACGGCGTCAAGGACAAGGGCAGTCACACAGAACATCCACATCCCCTGATTGCAGGCTTCCTATCAGATCAGCTTGGAGCCTGTCTCCGCCCTGGTGCCAGGTTAATCTCCACCAATAAATAAGAGTTCACAAAGAGTAGGACAAGCTCTGGCCTCAGCCACTTCAAAAGAGCAGTCAATAGGCCATAGGGAAATATATAGAATATTCTTGGCAAAACAAGACTTTAGCTTATTTTTCAGGACTCAGTAACCTTGGGTAGAAATTCAGGACAGTGGCCATATGGAGGACTGGGAGAATGATACCTCCACGGAGGCCTCGTTGGCGGTAGGAATGTTTTATTAAGCTGAGTGGTGGCCGCAGTGCCCTTTCTAGCGTCCTTTGTACCTTTTTGTGGGTCTGAAATATTTTATAATAAATATGCTAGATGTAACATTGAGTAGGCTTTTCACTGGCGGAGATGATCATTTAAAGAGAACTAAGCATTTTGTGTCATAAAGTCCCATGAACTCAATATGCCAATCCCTGGTATGATTTAATGTTCCTTCCTGACCTCTGGAGGGGTGACGGGTCCTTGCTGTGGGGACAGAGCACAGGAATGAATAAGGACTCACACAGCCTGACAAGCAGCCACTCTGCCTTGTGTCCAAAATTAACTTTTAAGGGTCTTCAAGGGACAACATCATAGAAGGAGCCGTTTGGTACGATTTTGATGGTACAGCTTATATAATTTGGGTCCACTGGGAAGAATTCTAGCCACTAGGTGTTGTATTTTCATTGTTTCCTTGGCTTATTTGATAATTTGCATAAATAGCTATAATACTTTTTGTGTGATACAGTACTCCTGACCACAGAACTTCTTTGACCAATAAGCTCCCAAATACCACAGTTTCTTTTATTACCATTTTCTTATTCCTGGTCATTTTATGAGTTTTTTTGAACAAATTTTTGGCCAGCTTAAAAATACATGATATGGTGAGGTAGTGGATGGGACCTTAAACATCATCTCTTCTCGTGCCCTCATTTTACAGAGGAAACAGCCCCACAGAGATTAAATTAGTTGTCCTCACTCCTGCACCCAAATTTATCTTGTCAAGATGGCGGAGACCTCCATCTTGCTAAATGCGGAGGCCCAATTTCTCTGCCTCATCTTACCCTTCTCCTAAGCAGCCTTGGACACACTCCCTGGGAACATTCTGTTCTTAGAGGTTCTGTTTTCTCCTTTCTCCCCGAATCCTGCTTCCTCCTCCGAGAGCCTGGCTCTCCTCTCCGGTTCCTCCGCCCCCAACCTCTCAGGCTTAGCTCAGAGCTCATTCCTGGGCCCTTATCTGTGTACACTCTCTTCCTGGGTCATCTCATCTGATCCTAAGGCTTAAATAACATCTCCAGCCCTGACCTCTCTCTTGAGCAACAAGTCGTACTTGGTGTCTCCAGGATTCTTGATGTTTCGAAAACGGCTTCTCTCCCAGCCTTCCTCTTCTCAGCACACAGCACCACCATTCACCCTGTTGCTTGGCCTCAAACCTAGGAGTCAACCTGAATTCCCCACTTTCCCCTGACTCCATCCTCCATCCCTTGTGTGTCCAATCCAGCAGACCTACCAGGCCGGGTTCAGAATATATCAGCTTGTGTCTGCCCCACCCCCATCCCGCCCGCAGGTTTTAGCTTTTGTCCTGTGCCTCAGGGCTCTCATACTGGATCTTTCCTCTGCCGGAATGCGCTTCCCCGCTGTCTGCCAGCCTGGGCTTTTCTAGTCTTCTGGGCCTTTGCCCAAACCCCACCTCCTCTGAGAGCACTTCAGCCTCCCCAGGTGAAGTGTTTCCTCCCAGGTCACTCCCTGCCGTGTCACCTGATTTACTGTGGTCTGACACTTAGCACTCTCTGCTCTAGTCTTGCTGTTTGTGACTTTATTTTCCATCTCCCCCACAAGAAGTGAAGCTCCTGTCTGTCTCGTTCACTGCTGTGCCCTCAGCAGCTAGAACAGTGCCTGGCGCCCTGGTACATGTTCAATAAATATTTGTTGAATAAATGAATGAATGAACACTGCTAGTTAGGACTCAAGCCAGTGTACAGTACTCAGGTTAGTTTTCTCTCCAAT